ACGAAACGAAACTTAATTTTATGTTGAATATTTGTCACAAACATTAGATTATTAAAATATATGTTGGATATCCCTTAGTATGAGACTTCATGACTCTTGTTGTCTAACGTGAGCTTTGGATTGCAAGCTTGCTACAGCACATAAGTATTCTGTGGTTAAAAAAACCACATGAGCTTTAAAAACTATAAAACCAAAAATAATTGTTATAATTTAAATGAAGAAGAATTTAAAACGATTTTATTTATGATCAAATTTTATATATTTTTTTGATCAAATCATTTAATAGAATTTATATACTATTCATCTATTAGTAAACATACCGTATATTATTTTTTTAAGCTATCTTATTTTTTGAAATTTTATTCAAATCTTTGGTCGCAAGAAGAATTGCATGATAAATAAAAACATTTAATCAAAGTCAATTTTATTTTTCATATTCAAATGACTGAATGTTAACATTTAACATTTTTTGCTAATTGTCGTCAAAAATTAGGCGTAAAGCAAAAATTAATATTTCATATGGTTTTATGAAGATAAGCATTATATTCCCACTCATTATATTCGTAAATTTTGAGGTTATCCTTCGCTTTTAAGATCATTGAATTTGATTTTTATATAAAATAGTTATATATTAGAAAATAATATGAGTTTATGTGATATTATTTTTCAGAAGATTTCATTCTATATGCCTATGAAAAGTACTCTCAAAATTAACTTTTTCCTAATTATAATTAAATCTAGAATATTGTATTATGCTTAGTATTATTTCATTTCTCATTCAATTTAGGATTTACAAATGTCAAAAAATTGAGAGCTGTCACTTTTGATGAATTTCTGTTATTACAGCATTGTTATTAATAATGAAAAATAAAGCTTATTTCAATGAAAATTGTTCGCAAATTTATTTCACTTTTGACCTCACTTTTTCCGTAATTCAATTTTTACTTTTAATATTTTAGATCTTCATAATATCATTTGAAAAATTAACCATATAAAAAAATCAAGTTATCAATTCACTTTTTCCGTAATTCAAAAATCAAAAATATAAATAATATATCTTTTTATCAAATATTATTATTATATTCTATGAAAAATGAGGTCCGGAAATTTTGCGGATTCCCGTAACTCAATTTTACGGAAAAGTGCAGTAAACTATTCAAAATACGGAAAAATTGGTGTTAACTAATTGATTTTACGGTAAAATCACGGAAAGTCCCGGAAGAATATATGTGCCTATATGAAATTATACAAAAATGAATCAAACGCATTTTAAAAGATTGTCTTGTATTATAAATGCTATTCGCAGATTTATTAGTTGAAGAAAATTACCAAATTTTTGCCGATTTACAAAAAATGATTTACAAAGCATATTTTTATAAGGCTTTAAAAATCTTTAAAATGTGACCGGTGACGGAACAATGGTAACCAACCGCGGTTCCCGTTTGGAATGCCATAAAATATAGTAATTTAATTTGGTTTATTTAATGTAAATATTATTGGAATATTGTTATTTTTAGGAATTGGATATCAAATTATATATTTTGCTTTATAAATGTTACGTATTGATTATGTGCGCTGTTTTAGTGCCGATTGATTAAAACTGCAGATATTTCCCATTAAATTATTCAAATGATATTAATATGTTATTTTCAGGATGTATGGGTTCACAGTTTACAATACAATAGCATTTGTAATATTCAACAAGTAGTACACATATCTAAAAGACAATAGTAATGTATTTCTAGAACACATTTATGATATTTATAAAAATTGATATTAAAAATATGTAGTGTTGCCTCTGTCCGTTTTGTTTTTGGAGTGGTAGGAATAATAATATAAAATCCCAAATTCTGTGAAAAATAATCGTTGTTGGTCGACCTTTCCCTGTATGTCTCTTCTCCAAGCAGGTCGTTTTGTTATGCTCCAGGCCGCCACGCCGGCAAGAGGCCGTCGTCCTCGCTGCCTACCCAGAAGGCACTGAAGATCGCAAGTTCCCATACGCCATCGTTATGGGTATCGAAAGTATCCAAAGAAGGTCACAAAGGATATGCCAACAGAAGTCCTCGTTAAGAAGACACAAGTTAAGCTTTCAAGGCCGTCAACTTCAACACGTTATGCTTACACGCCACAACGTCAAGGATGAGGACTTCTTCAAGAAGATCTCCGTCGAGAAGGTTGTTGCTGCTCTTAAGGATGCCCCAGCTAAGAAGGCCTCCTTACAGAATACGCTGCTGTCCTCCGCCAGAAGTACCTCAACAACAAGATGGCATGGTTCTTCAAGCCACTCCAATTCTAAATTAGATCTTATAAATGGTGGTTATTAAATTACTTGATGTCATATTTTTCTACAAATAAAAATTATTAATGAAATTTCAAGGAATTTATTAAGATTTCATATGTTTTTGTTTTCTTTGTTTCTAGTTTATTATAATTTTGTTATTATATTTGATTAGCCGCAGTTCACGACTTTCTGAAATTTTTCTAAAAAAAAAGTTTTTATTTTAAAAAAAATGACAAATAAAGGAAAATATGTACAGCCTCCAGAGGAATTTAGTATATATAAAACGAACATTGGAGAATAAAAGGATGACATCTGGGAGGAAAATTTGGTCGCTGAAGAACCGAAATCCAATCCACATAAAAATTATATGCCAAACTTTCGTTCAATCACAACTGTTTTCCCACATACACCAGCTATGAACAATGGGGCATATCCTCTTGGTATTTTAGTTTCTCCAGGCGATTTCCATAGAGTTCCATTGTTAAATTGCTCAACCCAATACATTCCTAAATCTTTTCATGTGGTGCATATCCAAACATATGCTGCAGAAAGGTGCCTGATAAAAACTCTGTTATTTGTCCTATCTGTGGAAGCGAAATTACACTTCCAAAAGATATGGACGTTCAAAAGCACCAATTTTTCACATCTCCTGTATATGATGTAATCTTACAAGAAAGTACAGAACATTTAAGTTTATTAAATTACGTAATTTTGATTGATACTTCAAAATATGCCGTAGAATCAGGAATACAAGAGATTTTTGCACGTCATTGATCAAAATGGTTAAGACTTGCAATGAAAATGCATCTTTTGGTATCATTACTTTCGATGAAACGCTTCAATATTATGATTCTTTGAAAAACAGAGTTATTCAGATTTCGGACCTCGATCATTCCAGTTTCCACCATTAAAACTCAGAACACTATCTGAAAACAGGCAATGGATCTTAGATTCTCTCGAAAAAATTTCAAATACAAAAAGTTCTTCATCTGCTGACAATGCTTCCCATCAGCATTACTAGCAACTCTTAGACTATTAAATGATGCTGGAGGCTCCATAATTGCTTCAGTTTACGGAAATCCAAATTATGGTCCTTTTGTTTGCCAAAATCAGCGCCACAACTGAACGATTTCAGTGATTTACTATACAAAGAGACCAAACAAAACGATTTCTACTTGAATTTAGGAAAAAGTTTTAATATTTCCGAATTTCGCTTCATTTATTTGCCTGTGTTGATGGAAGTGATAACATGAACATCTTCGACTTATGCCTGGTGTTTCGTCCGGAAATCTTCGAGTTGTAGAGAAATATTCAACTGAAAAAGATTTTCCGAAATTAGACTGCTTTATTAACAAAATCGCTAATACTCCTTACTTCTACAACGCTACGTCTACTCTTTTGTTCGATACTGATGTCTTTTCCATTGATAATATTTCATCAAATGGAATTTTCTCGGATACTAAGGAATTATCACTCGGAAACTTCCCATATAGCTCTTCCTTGTTCTACGACCTCAATATGCACCAGCCAACTAAAATTGGAGTCGTATTTTTCCAGCATTTGATGAATACAAGGATTACAAGGGAAATTCCAGGGTCAGAGTATCAACGCAATGTACTTAGTATCAAACGACCCAACCTGCGTGAAAACTAACATAGATCCCGGTGCATTTTTGGATTATGTTGGCAGAATGTTCGCAAACAGCCACTTTGCGGTGATTTAAACAAATGTCTGCCAATGATCAAGTCAATAGGCGAACAATTGATAAATTCTTTGATTGATTACATGAAAAATTCCGAAATTGCCCAAAAGATCCACAAATTGGAGTTGATGGAAGAATTCAGGATATCATATATATAAGAAACTCTAATGTGTTTGATTTCCTCCTTTATTTGCATCCAAAACAAAATCATTCGGACCAAACAACTGTATCAAGGCAAAACAAGACATTGATGACATTTTCTTCCAAGTTTCGAAGAAATCTAATTTAAACTACATCAAAAACGCTTTTGGTTGGAAGATTTGAACTCCCTTCCTTCTGACCTTCCTCAAATTGATTCTCAAGAGAATGCAGAGCTCTGGAAATTGTTAGAAGATATCCACACGTTTGCCAGGCAAAAATTAAACTTGTTGAATAAAAAAAAAGTTTTTTATTTGTTTTAGAAATACGAATTTTTTCATATAGAGAATTTATCTGAGTAGTAGAATTATAATTTAAAAATAAATATATAGATCCAATAATTATAGTTCACAATCTTGTCCTGGTGTAACATTTGAACATCTGCTCAATTAATTAAAGATTATTCATGATGAAAATACTCATGAGAACAGTTTATTACGGAACTTCTGCCTTTCCTTGATTCATTAGAAATCTTCAATATTGTCTTCAATAGATAATCATTCGAAGTATCTCTAAAATGAACACATCCCGCCATTTCAGTTCTCTCCTTTCAAATTGTATTTACAATAATATTTTGAGGTGTATCACTATTGTAGCTAAAACATTATTTACAAACTGTAAGAGCATTCTTCTATTAAAAAATTGGTTATCTTTTGAGACTCTTCCAATTCTTTGGTTATTCATCTCGTAATTCATGATTTATGTACATTTGATTTATTAAAATATTTATTTCATTCACTATATTCAAAATGTTATTGGTATCTTCTTTCTATTTAAAAATGATTATTAAAATGGTTTATAGTTTAATACGATTGGTACCAAACAATGTTGATTAAGTTTTCTATTACTTTTATTGATATTTTCAAATTCTGCTTGACAATTCCAGTTGAAAGATGAACCAATCTGTAGTGAAATATGCTTTTGAATTTTTAGGCAATACATTTTTATAAATGTATTTGGAATCAAATCATCAATATACAATTCCAAATCGTTAGCTCATTATAGTTACATATTAAAAATGAACCTTCAGGAGCAGTGTTTTTAATAAAAGAACAGCCAGAAGCAGAAAGAGTTTTTCCAGAATGAACAATAATACCCGAATCTGATTTTGATATACTATTATTTATTATATTGCAAGACTCAATCAACGAATTATAACGAATACCTAGAATTGTATTGTAATCATTTGTTGACTTACTATTAATAACAGTAGTATAGTTAAATTTTGTTTTGTAGTCATCTAAAAATGTATCAAATAATCCCATAACTTCTCTTGTACCTTTACAAGAGGAAAAATTTGATGAATGAAATTAAGATATTGCCATCTAGAACGAAAATTCCTCGTTCACCAGCATTTTCATTCCTAAATCGAAAAGTGAACTGTCAATAATAAAGTTTAAGTTTCTTTGGCCTACTGATGTATATGAAAAATGACCATTTTTAGAGCTTTGGCACCTTGTACAACAGAATTTTCGTTGAACAATTGAAGTATCGTTTTTTGAAAGGTAGTAAATACAGCATCCGTCTTCTGTTGAAACACAATTATTAAAAGAACAGCGATTATGTAGAAACAATGAACTCGCAATTTCGCTGAAATGATAATATGGTCATTGTCATCAAAAAAACTGCAGTCATCTAAGTAATATTGACTTTTCCCGGCTGTAATATTGCAGTTTATACATGATTTGGTTTGTACCCCTGTAAATTGACTTGTGAAATAACTATTCCATAGATCGTCATCTCTTAAAGATGACTTTCCAGCATTCTTACACAATATGACATAAATATAACGGTTTTTTATCCATTATTTGTAAAATATGAACATTGAAGTATCAATATAAATTATATGAAATAAATGGGAAAATAATGGAGAATTTAACCATCAAACTTGTTCTATCGCAACTTCGATTTTTTAATCTTGTATTCTCCTAGAATTTTAAAATTTCTTGTAGTTTGAGAATATTATCATTGAGAATTTTTTCTCACTAAAGGGTGTTTTTCCTACTCTAACAAAATGACTGGATTCTACAGAAAGAAATCCAAACACTTCGAACATTATTTAAGAAGGAAATACTTCACTTATTTGTGCATCAAGAGATCATCATACCCTTAAAAATTCACATCGCTTCACTTCGAGAGATAAATTGAGTTTAAATTTTTCCTCATACAAAAAAAATCTGGATCCAGAATTAAAATAAATAAATATCTTTTTTATCCGACTAATTTGATAGCCTTGATTATTCCTGTCAAAGCCTTTTGGATGATCTTTGTTAACTTGTCATCTGATATTCTCTGGAATCCGAACTTCGTGGCTGTTTCTGTGTAATCAACACCAGAGTCTGGAATAGACATGAACAAAGCAGAAATTGTTGCGTAAAGGTCCAAATCTTCGAATGTAATTGTCTTTGCATCAATCATTCTCCAGCATCTACTTACAACATTAGCTTTGAATGGCTTGAAGAATGGAGGGAACTTCTGTGCGCCGTATGTCAAAACTCTTGCAATTCTAGATGTGTTATTCTTGCATGCGCCGTCAGCAACACAGTTTGTCATGTAAGCAGCAATGTAAACTTATCTAACTCTCTTCTCTTGTTCGAAGTTTTCGAAGATGATTTCTGCTGGTGTCGTCATCTGAGAGAAACAAGAACAGATAGGAACAATGTCTTCGCTCGTGTAGCAAATCAATGGCATAACAAAATGTGTTGCCAGGAAAGGCCTGTCTTTTAGAGCGTTTATACATGTTTTGGCGACATTTATTGCTTCCGTGTTGTCTCCAATAACTCGAAACCTCTTGACAAAGCTTGTGACAATGTGTAATGAAGGAATTATCTTTGTCACTTCCGAAAGAATCCTTGAAATTAGACAATGTCTTTGTCAATTGCTCTGAGATATATGTTGTTGTCTCAATACCACCGATGTTCTTGAAATCGCCCGTGGTCGTAAGCAAATTGCAAACAGACATTTAACAGTTCAAAGCTGAATTTCTCAACTGCATATTCAAGTGGCAAGAAGAGTAAAGAGCCGGCCAAACCAAGATCAAAGGAACTAAAGATGTACTTTCCATCAAAGGAATGATGGAGCTGAGAGTTTCGAAGCAGAGTTCCAGACGAAGATGTCCAGGCTTGAGAGCGAAAAGAGAAGGCAACAAATCAACGAATTTGTTGACAAACGATGTATCTCTGTTTCCATTTTGAACCATAGCAGCTGCTTTGATGTACCACATATTTGGATTCTCTCCTGGCTCCTGGGATTTGATGAATCCCTCGTATCTGGCTTTTTCTTGTGGAGAGAAAGCTTGGCACAATTCTATACCAGCTTTAACAAGATTGGAAACAATCATTTCTCTGTGGTGTTCCAATAATTTCTCAATGACTTGGAAACGTGTTAATATTATACCGCTTTTCTCTTGGATACTTCTTTTCCATGCAAACAGCCGTTGATCTCAAGAAAGTAATGATGGAATTCGTGTCTTTCTCGACGTGGACAGATCCGAAAAACAAGCAAGAGGAAACAAGAATTCTCTCATTACCGCTGATCAATTAAATGAAATTCTGCAAAGTTTTGGATTAATAAACCGCGCTAAATTAAACCCTCAACAGCCTACTCAAGCTCAACAAATAATTGATGATGAATCTAAATCATGGGAAACAGACGAAAGTACAAGGGATACTTCTGATGTTACTTACATAATTGAAAATGTGAAGAATTCTTTATTAAATGCAATTGATTCAAACGGAGAAAGACCATTTGATAGATTTGTCATTAAGGAACTTTCTTATGCATTAATGAATGGTATAAATAAAAAGGAAGTAAAACCTCAAGTTGAACTTCCTCCAAATGAAATTGAAGATCCAGAAAAATTGGAGCAAGAGAAGCGTGAAAAAGAGAAACAAGCTGAAGAAGCCTCTGAAATAGCTAATAAATCAATCAATAAGCTTATTGATAAAGCTTTTGAAGGTATTGAACCAGAAGCATCCGAATCTGTCCTAGTTCGTCCCCTATTCCAATTAGGCATTATAGGATCAATGAACAGAAAGTTCCAGGAAGTTGAATTTCTCAAAGACGTCCTCCCTGAATGGTCAGTCAATCAGCAACAAGAGGAAGAAGGAAAGCCATGCAAATATCAAACAGAAAAAGTAGTTTCTTCACTCAAAGAAGCATACGTTTCCAAGGGTGGAAGTGAGTTTTACTCGCAGGCAAAGATTAGACTTACTGTTATATTGGCCAATGGAAAACTCATACAGATTCCAGACACGAAAAAGAAAGAAGAAAAGAGAATCAAGCGAGATAAATTCTTAGTCAAACTTCCGCCTCAACAGCCATACAGAGGAATGTCAGAAGAAACTAAAAAATGGATAGCCAAAGCTGACAGAAAACCTCTTGAAGATAGAGTTAAAGATGAACTCAAAGATCTTGATAGTAAAATTCAAGAAAGCAGAGAAAAAGAAGAACAAGAGAAAAGAGAGAAGAAAAAGAAGTTAGATAATGAAGCTATTAGCAAACTCCAAGAAAAGGAACAGCAGAAATCTATTCAATACCAAACAAAAATGCAAGCATACAGGCAATCCAAGTCAAAGCTAGACAAGCCAAAGCCAATATCTTATGAAGAATACTTGCAGATCAAAGAAAAGCAAAAACATGCTAAACTTCCAGGTGGATATCAAGAAAGAATTAATGCAATGCATAAGATTATAGAATCCAAACAAAAGAAGCCGGAGCCAAGGACTTCATACAAAGAATTTCTGGAAAAGAAAGATGTGCTCTTCAAAGATGTTAACAAGCCTAATGGTTGGGATCAAAAGATTAATCAAATGAGACTTGGTTATGAATTAGCTAAAAAGAAGAGAGAAGAAGCAGAAAAAGCCAAGGAAATCTTCCCATCATCTCCAAAGAGTTCACGAAAGTCTGTATCTAGCTTTTCTTCAGTTTCTACATTGAAAGAAAACTCAAACACTCATAATTTAGATATTGATGAAGATTCAATTCAAGAACCAGTGTGAACTTTTATTATTATAAGTAAATTATTATTGTTTTCCATTATTGTAAATATGTCTTATTATTTTTTATCAATTCTCATAGGATTTTTAATGTCAATGATGATTTGTTAATTTATTCATAATATCTTTTGAATGCATTAATGCACACTACACTATTAGTAGAATAAATCTATTTTTGAATCAGATTTCATGGATGTTAGACAAAAATTATTAGCATTGAAATCTAAACCACAAGAAAGATCTAACAATTTATCTCAAAATAGCAATGATTCAACTCATGGCCTCCAAATAAGCACGATTTCTTCCATTAAGCCAAGATTATTATTCACATTTGGAACTGGAGCCTCTTTTCCTGCTTATGAATCTTTAGATATACCATTTGAAAGAAATCCAAACCTAGCTTCCACACTTCAACCTCAAAAAAAGTCTAATAATTGTAAATTTGAAGAAAACTCAACAATTAAAATAACTACCGCCATAAATGGTGAATTAATTGAATCTACTTATGAAAATACTAAATGCTTATTAGATAAATTCTGGGCAAAATGCTATTTAAAGATATTCACATCCAAAAACGAGAAAATTGATTTTAAAATACTAGACGATGGCCATATAAAGAGAAATACTTAATTTTATGTTGAATATTTGTCACAAACATTAGATTATTAAAATATATGTTGGATATCCCTTAGTATGAGACTTCATGACTCTTGTTGTCTAACGTGAGCTTTGGATTGCAAGCTTGCTACAGCACATAAGTATTCTGTGGTTAAAAAAACCATGAGCTTTAAAAACTATAAAACCAAAAATAATTGTTATAATTTAAATGAAGAAGTAATTTAAAACGATTTTATTTATGATCAAATTTTATATATTTTTTTTGATCAAATCCATTTTAATAGAATTTATATACTATTCATCTATTAGTAAACACTACCGTATATTATTTTTTAAGCTATCTTATTTTTTGAAATTTTATTCAAATCTTTGGTCGCAAGAAGAATTGCATGATAAATAAAAACATTTAATCAAAGTCAATTTTATTTTTCATATTCAAATGGACTGAATGTTAACATTTAACATTTTTTGCTAATTGTCGTCAAAAATTAGGCGTAAAGCAAAAATTAATATTTCATATGGTTTTATGATAGATAAGCATTATATTCCCACTCATTATATTCGTAAATTTTGAGGTTTATCCTTCGCTTTTAAGATCATTGAATTTGATTTTTATATAAAATAGTTATATATTAGAAAATAATATGAGTTTATGTGATATTATTTTTCAGAAGATTTCATTCTATATGCCTATGAAAAGTACTCTCAAAATTAACTTTTTCCTAATTATAATTAAATCTAGAATATTGTATTATGCTTAGTATTATTTCATTTTTCTCATTCAATTTAGGATTTACAAATGTCAAAAAATTGAGAGCTGTCACTTTTGATGAATTTCTGTTTATTACAGCATTGTTATTAATAATGAAAAATAAAGCTTATTTCAATGAAAATTGTTCTGCAAATTTATTTCACTTTTGACCTCACTTTTTCCGTAATTCAATTTTTTACTTTTAATATTTTAGATCTTCATAATATCATTTGAAAAATTAACCATATAAAAAAATCAAGTTATCAATTCACTTTTTCCGTAATTCAAAAATCAAAAATATAAATAATATATCTTTTTATCAAATATTATTATTATATTCTATGAAAAATGAGGTCCGGAAATTTTGCGGATTCCCGTAACTCAATTTTACGGAAAAAGTGCAGTAAACTATTCAAAATACGGAAAAATTGGTGTAAACTAATGATTTTACGGTAAAATCACGGAAAGTCCCGGAAGAATATATGTGCCTATATGAAATTATACAAAAATGAATCAAACGCATTTTAAAAGATTGTTCTTGTATTATAAATGCTATTCGCAGATTTATTAGTTGAAGAAAATTACCAAATTTTTGCCGATTTACAAAAAATGATTTACAAAGCATATTTTTATAAGGCTTTAAAAATCTTTAAAATGTGACCGGTGACGGAAATCCATGGTAACCAACCGCGGTTCCCGTTTGGAATGCCATAAAATATAGTAATTTAATTTGGTTTATTTAATGTAAATATTATTGGAATATTGTTATTTTTAGGAATTGGATATCAAATTATATATTTTGCTTTATAATATGTTACGTATTGAATTATGTGCGCTGTTTTAGTGCCGATTGATTAAAACTGCAGATATTTCCCATTAAATTATTCAAATGATATTAATATGTTATTTTCAGGATGTATGGGTTCACAGTTTACAATACAATAGCATTTGTAATATTCAACAAGTAGTACACATATCTAAAAGACAATAGTAATGTATTTCTAGAACACATTTATGATATTTATAAAAATTGATATTAAAAATATGTAGTGTTGCCTCTGTCCGTTTTGTTTTTGGAGTGGTAGGAATAATAATATAAAATCCCAAATTCTGTGAAAAATAATCGTTGTTGGTCGACCTTTCCCTGTATGTCTCTTCTCCAAGCAGGTCGTTTTGTTGTTATGCTCCAGGGCCGCCACGCCGGCAAGAAGGCCGTCGTCCTCGCTGCCTACCCAGAAGGCACTGAAGATCGCAAGTTCCCATACGCCATCGTTATGGGTATCGAGAAGTATCCAAAGAAGGTCACAAAGGATATGCCAACAGAAGTCCTCGTTAAGAAGACACAAGTTAAGCTTTTCGTCAAGGCCGTCAACTTCAACCACGTTATGCTTACACGCCACAACGTCAAGGATGAGGACTTCTTCAAGAAGATCTCCGTCGAGAAGGTTGTTGCTGCTCTTAAGGATGCCCCAGCTAAGAAGGCCCTCCTTACAGAATACGCTGCTGTCCTCCGCCAGAAGTACCTCAACAACAAGATGGCATGGTTCTTCAAGCCACTCCAATTCTAAATTAGATCTTATAAATGGTGGTTATTAAATTACTTGATGTCATATTTTTCTACAAATAAAAATTATTAATGAAATTTCAAGGAATTTATAAGATTTCATATGTTTTTTTGTTTCTTTGTTTCTAGTTTATTATAATTTTGTTATTATATTTGATTAGCCGCAGTTCACGACTTTCTGAAATTTTTCTAAAAAAAAAGTTTTTATTTTTAAAAAAAAATGACAAATAAAGGAAAATATGTACAGCCTCCAGAGAATTTAGTATATATAAAACGAACATTGGAGAATAAGGATGACATCTGGGAGGAAAATTTGGTCGCTGAAGAACCGAAATCCAATCCACATAAAAATTATATGCCAAACTTTCGTTCAATCACAACTGTTTTCCCACATACACCAGCTATGAACAATGGGGCATATCCTCTTGGTATTTTAGTTTCTCCAGGCGATTTCCATAGAGTTCCATTGTTAAATTGCTCAACCCAATACATTCCTAAATGCTTTTCATGTGGTGCATATCCAAACATATGCTGCAGAAAGGTGCCTGATAAAAACTCTGTTATTTGTCCTATCTGTGGAAGCGAAATTACACTTCCAAAAGATATGGACGTTCAAAAGCACCAATTTTTCACATCTCCTGTATATGATGTAATCTTACAAGAAAGTACAGAACATTTAAGTTTATTAAATTACGTAATTTTGATTGATACTTCAAAATATGCCGTAGAATCAGGAATGACAAGAGATTTTTGCACGTCATTGATCAAAATGGTTAAGACTTGCAATGAAAATGCATCTTTTGGTATCATTACTTTCGATGAAACGCTTCAATATTATGATTCTTTGAAAAACAGAGTTATTCAGATTTCGGACCTCGATCATTTCCAGTTTCCACCATTAAAACTCAGAACACTATCTGAAAACAGGCAATGGATCTTAGATTCTCTCGAAAAAATTTCAAATACAAAAAGTTCTTCATCTGCTGACAATTGCTTCCCATCAGCATTACTAGCAACTCTTAGACTATTAAATGATGCTGGAGGCTCCATAATTGCTTCAGTTTACGGAAATCCAAATTATGGTCCTTTTTGTTTGCCAAAATCAGCGCCACAACTGAACGATTTCAGTGATTTACTATACAAAGAGACCAAACAAAACGATTTCTACTTGAATTTAGGAAAAAGTTTTAATATTTCCGGAATTTCGCTTCATTTATTTGCCTGTGTTGATGGAAGTGATAACATGAACATCTTCGGACTTATGCCTGGTGTTTCGTCCGGAAATCTTCGAGTTGTAGAGAAATATTCAACTGAAAAAGATTTTCCGAAATTAGACTGCTTTATTAACAAAATCGCTAATACTCCTTACTTCTACAACGCTACGTCTACTCTTTTGTTCGATACTGATGTCTTTTCCATTGATAATATTTCATCAAATGGAATTTTCTCGGATACTAAGGAATTATCACTCGGAAACTTCCCATATAGCTCTTCCTTGTTCTACGACCTCAATATGCACCAGCCAACTAAAATTGGAGTCGTATTTTTCCAGCATTTGATGAAATACAAGGATTACAAGGGAAATTCCAGGGTCAGAGTATCAACGCAATGGTACTTAGTATCAAACGACCCAACCTGCGTGAAAACTAACATAGATCCCGGTGCATTTTTGGATTATGTTGGCAGAATGTTCGCAAACAGCCTACTTTGCGGTGATTTAAACAAATGTCTGCCAATGATCAAGTCAATAGGCGAACAATTGATAAATTCTTTGATTGATTACATGAAAAATTCCGAAATTGCCCAAAAGATCCACAAATTGGGAGTTGATGGAAGAATTCAGGATATCATATATATAAGAAACTCTAATGTGTTTGATTTCCTCCTTTATTTGCATCCAAGAACAAAATCATTCGGACCAAACAACTGTATCAAGGCAAAACAAGACATTGATGACATTTTCTTCCAAGTTTCGAAGAAATCTAATTTAAACTACATCAAAAACGCTTTTGGTTGTGAAGATTTGAACTCCCTTCCTTCTGACCTTCCTCAAATTGATTCTCAAGAGAATGCAGAGCTCTGGAAATTTGTTAGAAGATATCCACACGTTTGCCAGGCAAAAATTAAACTTGTTGAATAAAAAAAAAGTTTTTTATTTGTTTTAGAAATACGAATTTTTTCATATAGAGAATTTATCTGAGTAGTAGAATTTATAATTTAAAAATAAATATATAGATCCAATAATTATAGTTCACAATCTTGTCCTGGTGTAACATTTGAACATCTGCTCAATTAATTAAAGATTATTCATGATGAAAATACTCATGAGAACAGTTTATTACGGAACTTCTGCCTTTCCTTGATTCATTAGAAATCTTCAATATTGTCTTCATAGATAATCATTCGAAGTATCTCTAAAAATGAACACATCCCGCCATTTCAGTTCTCTCCTTTCAAATTGTATTTATAATATATTTTGAGGTGTATCACTATTGTAGCTAAAACATTATTTACAAACTGTAAGAGCATTCTTCTATTAAAAAATTGGTTATCTTTTGAGACTCTTCCAATTCTTTGGTTATTCATCTCGTAATTCATGATTTATGTACATTTGATTTATTAAAATATTTATTTCATTCACTATATTCAAAATGTTATTGGTATCTTCTTTCTATTTAAAAATGATTATTAAAATGGTTTATAGTTTAATACGATTGGTACAAAACAATGTTGATTAAGTTTTCTATTACTTTTATTGATATTTTCAAATTCTGCTTGACAATTTCCAGTTGAAAGATGAACCAATCTGTTAGTGAAATATGCTTTTGAATTTTTAGGCAATACATTTTTATAAAATGTATTTGGAATCAAATCATCAATATAGCAATTCCAAATCGTTAGCTCATTATAGTTACATATTAAAAATGAACCTTCAGGAGCAGTGTTTTTAATAAAAGAACAGCCAGAAGCAGAAAGAGTTTTTCCAGAATGAACAATAATACCCGAATCTGATTTTGATATACTATTATTTATTATATTGCAAGACTCAATCAACGAATTATAACGAATACCTAGAATTGTATTGTAATCATTTGTTGACTTACTATTAATAACAGTAGTATAGTTAAATTTTGTTTTGTAGTCATCTAAAAATGTATCAAAATATCCCATAACTTCTCTTGTACCTTTACAAGAGGAAAAATTTGATGATGAAATTAAGATATTGCCATCTAGAACGAAAATTCCTCGTTCACCAGCATTTTCATTTCCTAAATCGAAAAGTGAACTGTCAATAATAAAGTTTAAGTTTCTTTGGCCTACTGATGTATATGAAAAATGACCATTTTTAGAGCTTTGGCACCTTGTACAACAGAATTTTCGTTGAACAATTGAAGTATCGTTTTTTGAAAGGTAGTAAATACAGCATCCGTCTTCTGTTGAAACACAATTATTAAAAGAACAGCGATTATGTAGAAACAATGAACTCGCAATTTCGCTGAAATTGATAATATGGTCATTGTCATCAAAAAAACTGCAGTCATCTAAGTAATATTGACTTTTCCCGGCTGTAATATTGCAGTTTATACATGATTTGGTTTGTACCCCTGTAAATTGACTTGTGAAATAACTATTCCATAGATCGTCATCTCTTAAAGATGACTTTCCAGCATTCTTACACAATATGACATAAATATAACGGTTTTTTATCCATTATTTGTAAAATATGAACATTGAAGTATCAATATAAATTATATGAAATAAATGGGAAAATAATGGAGAATTTAACCATCAAACTTGTTCTATCGCAACTTCGATTGTTTTTAATCTTGTATTCTCCTAGAATTTTAAAATTTCTTGTAGTTTGAGAATATTATCATTGAGAATTTTTTTTCTCACTAAAGGGTGATTTTTCCTACTCTAACAAAATGACTGGATTCTACAGAAAGAAATCCAAACACTTCGAACATATATTAAAGAAGGAAATACTTCACTTATTTGTGCATCAAGAGATCATCATACCCTTAAAAATTCACATCGCTTCACTTCGAGAGATAAATTGAGTTTAAATTTTTCCTCATACAAAAAAAATCTGGATCCAGAATTAAAATAAATAAATATCTTTTTTATCCGACTAATTTGATAGCCTTGATTATTCCTGTCAAAGCCTTTTGGATGATCTTTGTTAACTTGTCATCTGATATTCTCTGGAATCCGAACTTCGTGGCTGTTTCTGTGTAATCAACACCAGAGTCTGGAATAGACATGAACAAAGCAGAAATTGTTGCGTAAAGGTCCAAATCTTCGAATGTAATTGTCTTTGCATCAATCATTCTCCAGCATCTACTTACAACATTAGCTTTGAATGGCTTGAAGAATGGAGGGAACTTCTGTGCGCCGTATGTCAAAACTTCTGCAATTCTAGATGTGTTATTCTTGCATGCGCCGTCAGCAACACAGTTTGTCATGTAAGCAGCAATGTAAACTTGATCTAACTCTCTTCTCTGTTCGAAGTTTTCGAAGATGATTTCTGCTGGTGTCGTCATCTGAGAGAAACAAGAACAGATAGGAACAATGTCTTCGCTCGTGTAGCAAATCAATGGCATAACAAAATGTGTTGCCAGGAAAGGCCTGTCTTTAAGAGCGTTGATACATGTTTTGGCGACATTTATTGCTTCCGCTTGTGTCTCCAATAACTCGAAACCTCTTGACAAAGCTTGTGACAATGTGTAAATGAAGGAATTATCTTTGTCACTTCCGAAAGAATCCTTGAAATTAGACAATGTCTTTGTCAATTGCTCTGAGATATATGTTGTTGTCTCAATACCACCGATGTTCTTGAAATCGCCGTGGTCGTAAGCAAATTGCAAACAGACATTTAACAGTTTCAAAGCTGAATTTCTCAACTGCATATTCAAGTGGCAAGAAGAGTAAAGAGCCGGCCAAACCAAGATCAAAGGAACTAAAGATGTACTTTCCATCAAAGGAATGATGGAGCTGAGAGTTTCGAAGCAGAGTTCCAGACGAAGATGTCCAGGCTTGAGAGCGAAAAGAGAAGGCAACAAATCAACGAATTTGTTGACAAACGATGTATCTCTGTTTCCATTTTGAACCATAGCAGCTGCTTTGATGTACCACATATTTGGATTCTCTCCTGGCTCCTGGGATTTGATGAATCCCTCGTATCTGGCTTTTTCTTGTGGAGAGAAAGCTTGGCACAATTCTATACCAGCTGTAACAAGATTGGAAACAATCATTTCTCTGTGGTGTTCCAATAATTTCTCAATGACTTGGAAACGTGTTAATATTATACCGCTTTTCTCTGGATACTTCTTTTCCATGCAAACAGCCGTTGATCTCAAGAAAGTAATGATGGAATTCGTGTCTTTCTCGACGTGGACAGATCCGAAAACAGAAGAGAAAACAAGAGGAGCAATATGCCCTTCAACAAATTGAGGACAATCGAAAGGAAGATGCTGCAAAGCACCGAAGATTCTTCTTGATTTGATTGAGTTTCCGAATGGATTTCTTCTGATGTTTCCATCCAAAATTTTCTCGATCAAAAGATTGCCCATGTATTCTGGATCTGAATCAACGAATTGCTTGAAAACATAAGCAACTGTTGTCTTTGGAACTTTGTTTCTCAAGAGTTCTGCACAAGCGATTTCGATTGCTTCTCTTGATGTGATTTTGCTCCAAAGGAATCTGTTGATCATGTATCTCAATCTCTGCAAAGGTCCTGTAAGTTCTTTCTCTTGATTCATTGGAATTCCTGGTGCCAATGGACCATTAAGAGACTTAGTTCTGTTTGTTGTTGCGCTTGTGTTTTGGGACCTTGATCTACTTGTTGATTTGGATTTACTCTCTTCATCTTCGTTAGTTGTCATCATGCATTTGATGATGTTCAAGATAACTCTTGATAATTTCTCAGTGTTCTTTTCAACATTGAGATATTCAACCAAAAGAGAAAGAAGAGGAACACATGAATAAGGAGATGAAGGAAGATAATCAGACAATCTCGGAACAACATCATCAACGAGATTTGAGTTTTGCAACTCTTTGAAGAAAGCGGAATAAGTTGCAACAGGACCAAGAGGGAAATAAGAATCTGGAGAATATTTCGTGTTCTTGATCGCTGTTTCAAATAAATGAATTGCTGAAGTAACTAAAGCATTTGATTTAACGGAAATCAAATGTAATGCTAAAGCAGCGCATTCTCCTCTTATTGATTTAGTGCAGATCAATTCGATTTCTGTTGGGCTCAACGGTTGTTTGAATTTCTTGAAATTGACAATCGCTTTAAATGTGTTGATAAACAAATCAGGAGCGATTGTTTTCAGTCTCAAGATATTGATCTTCTTATCTGCTCTGTAATTGATTGTTATTCCGCCGTCTTCATTGATGATTTCTGTCACTTCAGAGATATATATTTCATGGAAAGTAGAAATGTTTTTGTCCATTAATTTCGGAGATGTTGGAGATTGTTGGTTTTTAATAATGATTTCGGAATCATTCATTATCAATCTCGCTGTTGCTCCTGATGGAGTTGTTACCAATCCATAGCATCTGGCTGTTTCTTGTGGATCTAATGCCCATATTGGTAATGTTATTTGTGGTGAATCTCTGAAGAGTTCAGCGATATCTTCACAAAGATTTACTTTGTCACCGAGTTTTTGGAATTCAACATCTTTGATTTTTCCAAAGTAATAAGTAGAAACTCTTGTAATATGGATCTTTCTGAGTCTCGTGTTGAATTCTTCAGTCATTTGGCCGAGGAATGGTTGGAATCCGTTTGTTATGTGTTCAGGAGTTCTATCTACATAAACAACTAAATCAAAAATAGGATAAGGATTCGTACAAATGATTAAATGTGAAGCTACAGCGTGAGGATGAACAGGAGGAATCTTAGAAAGTCTTAATAAGAAAACAGGAACATTTTCATTGTTTGTTCCAGCGAATTCAATCCATCTTGAGTTCTGTAACAACAACATATCATTTGCAACAACAGGAATAGATGATGTAAGTGTTTTAGGAATGTAAACTGTTGATTTGTATTTTCCTACAACTGATAAAACAACTTCTCTGTCATAAGCAATTGTTGGAACATTGATATGACATAAAATTGGTTCCATCTTGAGAATTCCGCCTACAGCGAAATCTAATGCTTCTGAGACTTTGATCATATTAATAAACATGTTCAAATCTCCTGTTATACTTGCAGTTTTTACGTTGTAATCCATCGGACACATCAAATAAGGTCTGATGAAACATTCAACGTATAATTCTTTGCATAATTCCTTAGAGTTCGTGATTTGGAAGAATTTCACGAAATAATACGCCCAATAATAATTTGGCTGCATTGATTCCATGAACTTCTGTGGATTTGGATTGATCGCGTGGTGTAAAGGTGTTGCCAAATCCCAGTTAGAAACCATTGCAAGGAAGAAACTTTCGAAAAAGAACTTGAGATTATCAGGAAGTTTTGTCATTCCAACGCATTTCTTTGCCATGTGATCAAAGAGTTCATGGATCTGTGGACTCATGGCTAAACATCTAACGCATGATGCCAAAATTTTTGATTTGTTTGTAGGAGGATTTTCGAAGAAAGCGAAACCGTTTTCACACAAAATATCTGTTAAAACTTTTGGTTCTTTTTGTGTGAAATCAAGTTTGGATTGTTTCCTTAATGATCTTGCGTATTGGATCAAATTCTGGATGACGTATTTCTCTTTCTTCAATAATTCCTTTGGACTCAACTGTTCTTTTTCTTGTACAAGGTTATCGGGATCGAGAGATTGAACTTTTTGTATTTGTTCATCATTTAATTTAGTGACAACACTAAATCTCATGCCCAAATACTCTGTCAATGCTTCAACAATCAAAATAGACATAACTTGCCCTGTTTGTTGTGCAATGACAATCAATGTGCGCCATCCTGTTCCTGGATTTGCTGCAAGTATCTCAAGACATGAATCGTAAATGTAATTTACGAGTTTTGGTGATAAACATGTCTTGAAACATTGATCAAAAGCATTAATGACATAAAACATTGTTTGTGTTGCATAAACTTGCAAATCGTTATCAGGAATATGCGCTGTATTTTCGGCGCCATCGAATTTGAAGTTATGCAAAATAACAGGGAATATTTTTGCCATTAATTCAAGTTTTTCTTGGCTAAAACCGCCAACTCTTCTATCGGCAAATCTCACTAAAACATCAGCAAGTGAAGTGACTGTCAAATGCCATCTCAAATGGTTCACTTCATTTTTGTTTTCGTAGACAGCTTTGACGTAATGGTAAAGTGCTTTAGTGAGTTCTGCTTCGAACTTGAAGAACTGCTGGATTGAATACAAAGAAATAAACTGGCAAATTGTTTCTTGTAAAATGTTAAATGATTCTTGTGACAAACTCTGATCACTCGCTCTTCCCGTGCACATTTGGATGTAGTTCACCCAGTAATTGGTAGATGCAAAGCGGCTGTTTAAGTAGGCGTTGAATCCATGTGACTTCAATGAGTCATTAAACGTTTTGTCGACACTCGGATGGAGGTGTGAAAAGCCTTGGCCAAATCTCTTGTCCAAAATTTTGACACGAGAAATAAATTGAAAGGCAGCATTGAAGAAACACTCTGCTGTCGGGCCACAGACCTTTCCATCTGTTAATGTGAGTGTTGTATTGTCGACATAGCGCGTAATGAACTCTGTCATCACGGAAATACGCTCAGGAGATGGAATATTTGTCGGATTTCGTTCGGCACCTTTGATAATTCCACGGGTAAAGGCAGCAATGTAGCCGAACCATGCGCGGAGAACGATGTTGATGGCTGGCATAGCTGGAATTTGGCTCGAATCTGTACTTGTCGTGTAAGGATATCTGATAAGTGGTGGCATCTCGAAAACTTTGAAGATTCTGTCGAGAGTGTCCTCGCAAATGTCATAAGCTCTTGATTTACCGCATGTTCCACGTAAAAGAGCGACGACAATGATACAATTATCTTGGGATGTAGATTTGAAGGTCGCTCCTTCGATCTTCTTGTCACCGTGAGCACGGCTACGTCTAAGTAAGATTGTTTCCGCCCATCTGAGGAAGGAAAGGAAGATTCCGGGTAAGATATCGAGAGATTGAGAATTATTATTCACGGCATCAACAACGGAGTTGCGGATTTCGGATGAAAGATCGTTAACTAATGTACATGTTAAATTAATATTCTCTTTGGACCAAAATGGAGTATTTGCCCAAATAATAAGTAATAATGGAATTAATTCGGTAACAATGTTATGCGCTGAGTTTGCAATTGCCTTGAATAACGAACAGAGAATTTTTGAGCTTGTACTGTTGTCGCGGATCGCATTCAAAAATGTTGTTAAGGTAGTTGTTGGTTCCCATGTATTTACAGGGTCACCACGAGCTATAGTAAGAGCGGCAACGATTGGATCTCCATGTAAACCTTGTGTAAGGTATCTGGCGATTGATGTTGCGGCCAAAGCGGCATTTTCGTATTTCTCTTTATCGTTTGTAGGAGTTAAGATTGTATCGAGTGCCTCTGATAAGCGTGAGCCAAGAGCTTGGTACCTACTTGTCTCAAATTTAAGATTTGCTGTTGGTAAAGGATATCCGGCAGTAACGATGTAATGGAATTGGGCCATTGGTCCCCATCCGTATAATGACGTATTCGATATTTCTTGAAGGAACTGCATTGCTGGACCATCGACTTTTTTAGAGAAATCGCAAGCTCCGAAACGAGGAGCGAACTCTTCGATCAAGCGAGGATCTGTGTAAAGTAATTTATCTTTCTGGTTGAAAATTGCTTTCTCGAACTTTTCCTGGTGTTTTTTGAGGAAATTTTGTAAAGGAGAGGCGTAGTCTGCTTTGATATTTTCGAGATGGATCACTGCGGTGTATAATTCAAGATAAGCAAAGCAAGCTGGTATGAAATTCTGGTTCTTCTTAAATTTAACATCTCCCAACATTTTCAAGATGGCGTGGTATGGGCTCTTCTTATTTGCCTTCATATCCATGAGGCATGTCTTGCAGAGAGGAAGCAAGGCACATAATACAGGGAGTTCTTCTGTTTCGTTTGAAGTCTTCCAGGAAAGGATGCCATCGATAACCATTTGGGCTTGGTTAACTGTCAATGTAAGCATTTCATGGTGCATATCGGGATGTTCAACGTTGAAAGAGCCAAGAATATTATAAAATTCAATGCAAAATTCTTTTCTCGATTCAAGAGCAAGGTTATTAATGTAGGACATAATCGCACCAAGTACGCAACGAAAAGCTGAAACATTATGTGTTCCAACCTTCACAGATCTTAATAAACCAATAATGTCGCTATTTTGCTTAACAAGTAGGAGGCCTGGGATGGGGTTCGAGCCAGCAATAACTGACAGCCTGATGACTTTGTCAATAGCTTCGTAAACGAGATTTTGGAATTCCTTTGAAACGATTTCGGTTGAAAATCTTGCTTGAAGAAGATCTGTAAGTGCGATGTTAATATTTGGCGATGTCTTGTGAACAGGAAGGAGCATGATTAATTCGCATAAAACAAGAATGAATTTAATTTCAGAAGCGGTTGGGCCTTCCTGCTTAGTCATGAGCTTAATTTTATCGCGAAGAAGAGAGATCATGACTGAATAAGGCACATTCGGGCCGAGAATAGCAAAAGATGATATATCTGCAGCATAATTTGTAAAAGATGATTGAAGCCAGCAGAGAGGTTCGAAACTGTATGTAGAATCTAAACCTGTCTCTGATTCTTCAATATCCCTTTGTAATTTTTGGCAAAGTGTAACAATCTCTTTGGTGAGAAAGTTATCTTCTTTGTCTCCCATATTGATTTTAGATGTCTTTTGAATAGAAAACGATTATTTTCTCTTTTGAAAAAAAAATTAATGTAATCTGTTAAGATTAATTGATGGGATTTGCGTGTGTATGCTAGCATTCTAGAATTTAATTCCTTGATTTCCTTTTCACTTTTTTATCGAAATTCATTTTGACAAAGCATATCAATTTTCAAATGGTTTATCAGTTTTAATTTACCTCTTATTCTAATGGTACCATTATGAAAAATTGTCAGTTATAAAAATTTTTATCAGAATTCAAGGTTATTTTTTCAAAGAGATTTTAGAATTGGATGCAATTTCATTTTATTGGAATACTAAAATGAGTAACGGCTGCCTAATAAATCAATATAGAACTGTTTTGGATGACTTTATCTGTTTATTAAATGAAAAATCCCATTCTTGATATGTTCATCAAAATTATTGATACTCTGTCTAGTATTAGAAATGAATTAACTTGCTGTACAATATCTTTAGCCGATGATCGGAGGGAGATTTATCAATACATGTATAATAAAAATTAAAGTTCATAATTAAGTACAAAATCATTCTTTAACTCCTCAATCAACTCGATTCTTTTAGCTCCTTTGTCATGTTTTCTAAGTATGAATACCATGGAGCCTGAGAAGAATTTCAATTATTGTGTATTTGTCATTAAAGATTCAGTAGTTTTAATAATAACAATATTTATTCATACAATAAAAACATTAAATGCCCATAAAATGAGTAACTATGTGTCAAATAAAAAAATTATTTTTCTTATTTCTTGCTGGATGATTTGCTATACGAATAGCTAACGCTACTGCTGCTTGTTTCTTCATTATCATGCTTGTCACTGTCATCTTTCGGTTTATTTTCATCAGATTTTGGTTTTTCTTCCGGTTTTGGCTTTGGTTTATCTTCGCTTGGTTTTTCTGCTTCATCCTTTGGTTTCTGCTCATCTGGTTTAGGTTTCTCTTCTTCTTCCTTTGGTTTTTCTTCATCAGATTTCGGTTTTTCTTCCTCTGGTTTGTTTTCTTCAGCTTTTGGTTTCTCTTCTTCATCTTTAGGCTTTGTTTCAGCTGTTTCTGGTTTTTGTTCTTCAGCTTTAGGCTTTTCTTCTTCAGGTTTTGGTTTTTCTTCTGGAGGAGGCTGAACTCCAAGTAATTTACGAGATTCAGCAATAATATCCTGAACAAAAGTCTTTATTGGTGAATATTTGGTCTTATCGTAGCAATCGAAGCTGTGTAAATAAAGATTTCCCAAAGCACGGAAAACTTTGAGGACATTCTTATGTGCAACACCTGGATTTTGGCTGACAGAGCGTCTGTTTGGATATTCAACCTCTGTGTCAAAGTTCTTCCTAATGATTTCTTTTAATCTTGTTTGATTAGCAGTAAGTTCTTGTTTCTGTGGTTCAAACAAGATGAATTTGATAAGTTCATCATTCTGGGAATCTATTTTTGCTCTTTTGATTTCATAAAGATGCTTAATAAAATATCCAAGGAAATATCTCGAGCAAGTCTTAAGTGCATCATCTTCTCCGTACTTTTCCTTGACCAAATGATATAATTGAGATCCAATATATTGTAATTCCTGCTTGAAATTGAAATTAGAAAAGAAATTCACCAAAATATTGGCCTTTGTAGCTAAATCGGCATCACTTCTATAACCAGGTGCAATAATGGTGCATCCATCACGTAATGAACGGCCAAAAGCATCAATAGAAGCTTGTAAAAATGGAAGCAAAAATTCGGATTTTTTGTAAAAGTCTTCAGAGTTATCGTACTGCAATGAAATATAGCGTATAATGTTTGTGAAGGCATAAGCAAATGATCCAGCTGAGTGTGCTAATGAAAAAGTGGTGTATCCTAAGAAAAATTTGAATTTTCCATTTACATCTGAGCTGATGCTTCTAAATACGAAGTCCATGGTTGGACTGAATAGGCATGGTGAAAGAATTGAACGAAGGTCTGGGAAAATATCAAAAGGATAACGAGCTTCGGAAAATGAAGCAAGTAAAAATTCATAATAAGGAGGTTTGTTGTCAGAATAAAGACTACGAACGTAAGGTTCTAGTACATCAATATCATGATTTGCAACAAATTTCAAGAAAAGCTTGGATTCAAATAAAACTTGTAATTTTGTCTTTGATTTAATTGAAATATCGACAACGTTAGATTTGAATGATATCTTTTTTGAATTTTTGATATCATAAGCAATCATTTTGCGATCTGTTGTAAATATAAGGAAAAATGTTGATTCTTTTGTAGTTTCTGGATGTACAAATACAAAAATAAATGGTTCAGGTTCATAATGTGACTTTATAGATGCTTTTTCGATCTTTCTAACAACAGAATCGATGTCTGTTATTTTGGAAATTGATTCTAGTTGATCTTTTGAGAGTTTTGATGCAAAATCCTTAGCTGATGCTGCATGGCAAATATCGCGTGGCTTTAAGACTGAAAGATAGATAGGTTTTTCCGACATTTTGAAAGAATTTATAAAAAAATGTCAAATTAGAAAATCATAGTCAATTCCATATTTGAGACTCTCATTGTATTGACTAGTTTTATTCAAATTAAAATCATAATTGCGGAATGGAAAATGTTTTCAATTTTCTTTATCTTCGAGTTGTTGAGTAAAGAAGAAATTCAAGCAGCACAATCAAAAGACCATGATATGAAAGAAGCATCCATGAACAGTAAAAGCTCTGTTATTATATCAATGAGATGGCTTTCAATTGAAGAACAGTTTCATCACTTGGTATTCGCAATAACAATTTCCCAGCTCTTAAATCTTCCATTTCAGGTCGACTATTTAAGATATCCTGAGAATGGAGAACAACCTCAAGATTATTTTAATATGAAACAATATTTGTTGACAAAATCTTATGAAAACAACTTTAATAGGCTTAGAGTTGATAAAGAATTAACATGTAAAGCCTCTGATTTCTTCACAAAAAATTCATCGAAAAATATCCTCATTAGGAACTATTTGGACATCGCTGTTTTATATGGTAACAAGCATTTTCATAACATATTAGTATCACAATATGGTTCTCGAGCAGTTTATCAAATTGCAAATCAATTCATTCTTAGAGAGAGAACAAAGTATAATTCCACATTTTTGTATGGAATTGATATAACAGTTTTTAAATCTAAGAAACTTAAGAACCTCTCTGATGTATCAAACATCATCCAATCTTTTGAAAAAATATTTAATGATCTGAACATTCATAAAGATAACTATCCTGATATGCTATTCACTTCTAATGAACCTAAACTCCTTAAGAAGCTCAAAAAGAAGTATCCAAAGTGTACTTTTATGCTACATGGAAAAGATTCATTCTTTAATTTAATAAATTGTAGAACATTCATAGGAACATATAGATCTGAGTTTTCAAATGCTATCATACAGTCAAGAGCTGAAGGAAATAATATGATTGATTATGGCGATGTCAAAATTGAAAAGATCAACAATGAAATGCCCGAGTTAATTTATAATATATTAGATGAATGCGAAATATGTGCTGATATTTATTCATATACACTCAGAGTATGTGGAGATAATGATGCTGAGTTAGCTTATGTCAGCAATAATTTTGTTCATAAATAGATGACTGTGTTAAGGTTAAAGATACTTGTGTAATTGGTATAAATATTGTTTATAATTTTATAATTTTTTGGTTTAATCAACGAATTGAGAACAAAGCAAAAAACAAACTATAGTATACATCGGAATAGTGTTCTTAGGATAAATTTGTCAATTCATTTGTAAAAAGCGCTATTTAATTATTACAAATACTGAAAGACTTAATGAAATGTAAAGCTTTCCTAGCTCAACAGGATAGAGCTTTGGACTTTTAATCCAAGGGTTTGGGGTTCGAGTCCCCAGGATAGCGTTTTTTATATATTATTTTTTTCGATTGTTCCAAATATTTTGGATAGAGATACTAAGATGAATAATTATAGTTATTTATTCGACATTTGTTTCGAAAGCCAAAACATAATAGTCCAATAATAAAATTATTATATGATTAATAAAAGGACATTATGAGTAAAAGCTAGTATCTAGGACGGTGATTACAAGCCTTCCATTGCCAGCCCAAACGTATGGATACCCATCATTCAAACTGAAGAAATACGATATAAAAGTTATGAAAAGTGCATTTCAAATATGATAGTTACTAATTCAGGTCAAAAATCGTGAAGCTTTCCTAGCTCAACAGGATAGAGCTTTGGACTTTTAATCCAAGGGTTTGGGGTTCGAGTCCCCAGGATAGCGTTTTTTTAATCATTATTATTATTAACAGGAACTCAAAGAATTATGAGGAGAAAAAAAACTCTTTAATATATTATTTTTAGTTTGAATTAGATTCGATCAAGATGATAAACAAAACAGAATATGAAATGTGCATACAGCTCAAAGTCAAAGATGGATATATAATGGAGTCGAGAATAGTTATTACTAGTCTACCATTTCCTTCCCAGATACCCGGAATTGATTTAACATCACTGAAAACATATCCATCATTCAAGCTGAAGTAGTAAGGATGACTTTCGGATTCGTTGTAATAACTCCCTTTTGCAGGAATATTGCCAGGTGGGATTATTGCATCAGCAGAGAGTGCCCAAGAGCTTCCCCCTCCTGCACCCCCATTTTCATTGTGCCCAGCAAATCCACCAAACCAACCACTTCCTGCACCAGGTTTATCTGTATCCCCAACCGGTTGGCGGACTCCATATTGGCTTTGAGACCCAAATTGTTGAGCTGATTCGCCATATCCAAATGTAAAGCCAAATGTTGAATTTGCTAATCTTTCAGAGTTCAGGATCCCATTAACCCAATAACCTTGAGCGGTAACACCACCTCCAGAGCCTCCTGATCCATCATCTTCCATTGTATCTTTAGTAAAGCCGTTATCTGACCCGCCTCCAGCGCCGCTCACAATCACGCGATGCCAAAGGTCATTTGCCAGAAATTTAACAGCAGTTTGACCTCCACCACTTCCAAAATCTTGAGAATATTGTTCAGGATTATAATTAGATGCAGAGCCCCCACCTCCATAGCCACCTTTCATTATTTTAGTTCCACTTGCGAATTTAACTGTTCCCTTTCCACCTATCGTCGCATAAGCGATTAATCGGTGTGAAAGCTTGATTATGCCTGAAATATAGCCTCCAGCACCACCACGACTTCCAACTTTGTTGCATTTTGTGTTTCCATGATATATCTCAACAATAGCATCGTTGATGCAATTACCATTACTATCTATGAATGAAGACATAAGTCCCTCATTTGCACCTCCTGAAGCTCCATAAAGCTCAAATTTATATATTCCTGGGTGAAATTTAATGACATAATCTGTACAATCATAATTTAAGGGGCATGGGTAATCGAATATATATGTCTTTGAGTCTCTACTTTCATTTACTTTACTTTGGTAATGTAGATTGTCGTCTAAACTATATGATAATATTTAAAACGAAACCCTTGTTTGAATGGAAATTTAGAAAAATGAATAATCTAACTGTAAAAACGTGTGAAAATATATATGTTCGTATATTTTAATGATTATTCTTGTTTTTTAGGTTCAAAACTCAAGGAAAATTTGATTTGGACAATAACGTTTCAAAATTTAACATTTTGAAGATGAAATATAACTCTATTATTTGTTTTTCGTCAAAATATCAAATATAAATGCCTCAACTTTTCTTACATCCTATAAAATTTACAATAACCGTTGACAGCTAATGAACGAAGATACAAAGCATATCATAGCAGAACTTGAAGAAGTAACCGAAGGGCGTTATGAAATTAAACGTCGATTAGGAAGAGGTGCATATGGAGTTGTTTTTGCAGCAAAAGATAAGAAAACTAAAAAGATGGTTGCCATCAAAAAAGTTGAACACATCTTTGATACACTTTTAGATGCAAAAAGATGTCTTCGTGAAGTGTGCATACTTTCGCATTTCAATCATGACAATATAACGAATTTAATTGATGTCACATCACCTTCGGACTACAACAAATTCAATTACTTAATTATCATCATGGATTTAATGGAAACCGATTTGCATCGTATTATTAGTAGTAATCAACCTATTACGGTTGAACATCATAGATTTTTCATTTATCAAATCCTTCGAGGTCTTAAATACATTCATTCCGCAAATGTACTCCATAGAGACTTGAAACCTGCTAATATTCTTGTAAACGCAAACTGTGATTTAAAGATTACAGATTTCGGTCTTGCCAGAGTAAGCGAGTTAAACGATGATAGCGATTTCCTTTCTGAATACGTGGCCACTAGATATTACAGACCTCCGGAAGTTCTTTTGAATTATAATACTTATGGACCTGCTCTTGATGTTTGGAGCGTTGGCTGTATCCTTGCTGAAATGATTCTTAGAAGACCTTTATTACCGGGTAAGAATACTCTCGATCAGATTGCTTTAATTGTGAATTTAATTGGATCTCCTTCAGAACAAGATTTAGAAGAATGTCCAGCTCAAAACGCAAAGAAATACGTACAAAGTCTTGGTGAGAAAAAGAAAGTTGCATGGAAAACAATTTTCAGAGGTAAATTATACATTGATGAAGAGTTAGACCTTCTTGATAGAATGCTTACATGGGATCCACGCAAGAGAATCACTGTTGACGAGGCTTTGGAGCATCCTTTCTTAAATTCATTACATGATCCAACAGATGAACCAGAAACATTCCCTCTTGAAGAATTCGAATTTGAAACAGATAAAATACACCTCAGAGACCTGAAAAGAAGACTCTGGGAAGAAGTTATTCAATATCATCCTGAATTTGGAGAGGCACCTCCTGTTAAGGAGACCTAATTATTACATGTAAAGAATTGCGTTTATTTGTTTTCAAACTTAAACTTTTTCTTAATAAAAAAATCTCGAAATATACTCTCAAAGAATTGGTTTTATTATGGTCAGGTATTGAATGTCCATCACAAAACTTTAATTGTTTATCATTAATTAAGAATATATGATAGACAATTTTCTTATCAAGTTGCTACAGCATTCATATAAGTTTCCGCATTATATAAAAAGATTAGAAAACTCTTTAAATAATCAAATCTTGTTTTAATTCTATAGATACGCTGCTTTCAGTGAAAGAATTTAAGGTCTTTTTTCATTTAAGGTACCCTATTCAAAAAATGAAAGGGGGTCCCTCACAAAATTGAAGGGGTATCATTCAAATTCTATCGAAATAGTACCTTAATTAAAAAAGCTCTCAACCGGTACCATTCAAATTCCCTCAAAAATATTGAAAAGATTTTAGGTATGCTGCTAATATAGTTAGTAGCATCATACAGAATGCATAGACAAATTTTTTACTAATTATTTTTTCTTAGAACCATAAGCATAATAATTTTGCAAAAGGTATGGGAATAATTTGAAAATTAAATTCAAAATTATTAATACTAGTGCAAGCTAGTGTAAGCATGTAAATGCATATTTGTGCACTGATTCGATACTCTTTTTTGGAAATTGTACTTTATCTTAAATTTCGAATGCAAATTTTTTGAATATGTGTATTGAAACTGTAACCTTTTGTCTAAGTTGCATTCTAATATAGCTCGAATTCTAAAAATGGGACTTTACTCCTCTTTCTTTGAGAAAATTTTAGACAATAGCCAAATTGCTAATTTTGTTGGAGTAATACCTGCATTGGGAGGTATAATATATTGTTCAGGGTTGAAACAAGGAGGTAGTTAGTGATAAAGCATAGTTACCACATGAAATGCAGTAAAATTTTGAGTCTAAACGTCTTTTAAACCATCAAGTATAAATTATAGAAAAAGATACTTTATATATAGTTAAAATAAAAATGATTAGAAAATAGCGTTTTTGATCAAAATTTCAAATTTTTATTTCCGAATATCTCTATTTGTGTCTAATTAGAGACATTTCTATAATTTTAGTGCGCAGCATATGCAATTCCTCTTTGGTTATTGCATTAATTTCTCAAAAAGAAAAAAGTCTTCAATAATTTTTTCAACAATACAGTACTAAAGCTAAGAACTTCTAAACACATGAAAAGTTATATCATTCTCGTTAATATGTAGATTATCAATGAAAAGAATATTGTGAAATTTGAATATTTTTTAAAATAGAATGTAGAAATACTTATCAATGCTTAAAATAGAGATATGTGAGAGCTAGATCCGTATTTATTTACGTTTTCGTGCATATTTTGAATATCAAATTAAATTAATTTTAAGATTTTATTATTGGTAGGAGAAATTTTTCAACTTGGGAGACAAATTTGAGTGTCACCTCCGATGAACAAAATACACGATAGTAATTTTCTTTGTTTTTATTTTTTGGGGCATTCAAAATTTTTTCTGGTCTTGTTTTTTAGGGGTATTATTATTGTCGTCTGGCGGTTTTAGACGACAATGCGAATTTTCAAATAATAGGATTTTTAGCCAGATAAAGAGCTACTCCATATATCATGCGTGTTTGCATACTATATACATAGATGGAATTGATGTTCTTCCTTTATTTAGGTACCGAAACATGCTTGAAAAATCTATTTTTTAGACGACAATGATAATTTTGTCACTTTTCCAGACGACAATAATAATTTGTCACCTTTTTAGACGACAATAATAATTTTGTCACTTTTTCCAGACGACAATAAAACATCCTCTGTTTTTTATGATACCATCCGATCCAAGCAATGTTCCACTTGGAGAGGTAGTTGAGCTGAGAACGTTGCTTTTTGGAGCACTGAGTTACGTAGAAAATTCTTTGAATTCTCTTGTAAATTCTCCAAAAACATACTCATCTAAGCTAAAACTTACAGAAAAACTGTACAAATCACAAATAGTTTTAGCTCGATACTTAACTCTCCTCAGATGGTATCGAAAAAACAAAAGTATATATCGATTTTTATTATCTAATAAAACGAATTCTGATGGTTCGATTAATACTCAAAAATTCTTAAAGTCAACGCAACAACAGATTCAGCAATTACATAAAAACGAAAGAATTCAAACATATAAGCCAGATTTATCGATATATAACTTCAATCCTCAACCATCTAAAGAACAAATACGTTTATTCTATGTTATGTTACTCATGCGAAAGCCTGCTTCTAGGCGTCTTCGTAATTTTACACAAGTTTCAATTAACGAATTTGCTTTTCCAAATGAGGAATATATGTTGCAGATTAAAATCGATTCTAGTCAGTTTTTACAGATAACAAGAGTGGACGTTCTATGGCCGAAAGAAATTCCTTCAAAGAAAGATTTTATTCGAAATTCTATCAGTCCTTACATCAGACTTGACTTGAAACTATTTGAACAGCTGAAAGATCTCGATATTTCATTACACCATATATACTTAATCGGTCAATATTCGCATTTTGCAAACTTATTATTGAAATATCAAGATGAATTCAATTTTGTTTTAAAAAGACACGAAGATTGTATATTAATACAGTTTTTAGGATACTATGGCTCTCGTTGTACCTTCGGAGTTTACATTCGTAACGAAAATGTCCAAATTATCAGTAAAATTCCAGTTTTAGAGATCCCGAGTAATCTTAAAACTGCTGAAAGTAACTTTAGTTCATCAAACGATACTCCAATGAAGTTCAACAGAAAGATTTTGTCGATAAATATTGGAAAGAATCCAGATGTTCAATCAATTCTTACGAAATTACGCGATACAATGATATTTACTCACATTCACAACATATATTTCTTGATTTGCAGATCCCTCGCTTTTTCTCCTTTTTCATTATTCAAAATCTCTTTAATATTTCCGAATACGAACGTTACGTGCGGACGTATTTCGATTATATACGCTGGATTCCCTGTTACAAGTGTCACTTTCTCTTCAAAAACAGGATGTCCATCCACCATCTCAGAATTTCTACCTGCTGGCAACGTCGCTCATCTTGCAAAGGCTCTTAGACTTGGTCCTCGTGATGTTGCCGACTCAATCAGCGCTCTTGCCATGAATCTTTGGTCATTCAGAGTTATTCGCATTGCACAGAACCCGAAAGCCTCTCTTCCGCCTGTTCCAATACAGAACCTTTCAAGGGCTGCCGCTTTGTCCATCTGCGTTTCGTATTCGTTCGCTCAGAACTTCAAATTGATCGCAACAAGACTTCCTCAGAAATTTTTGGTAAAAGTGATCGATAAAAACGGTTTTCGCATTCAAAATTATCGATCAATTGTATTTGAAAACAAAGGTGTCACAGAGTTCCAAAAAGTTAATGAGCACATTAACAGTTCTATGTTTTCCATTTTGCTTCTTTCTCTTGAAGAAAAAATGAAAGGAACAGCATTGAACATTGTCAGAAACGAGAATTCGATTGCCGCAACGTTTCATCCACACATGTACGTGAAATTCAAGATCCACAAGACAGGCAGTTGGAAATTACACGTTGACAGAAGAACATTTCCTTTCTTATCGTTTGGCGGCATCGTTTTCATTGGCCAACAAATAACGATGAGATTTGATGAGTACATCATGTATTTGATAACTTCTGTACAGTTCATTGGCTTGTATTTGAACAGAGTTACAGGTACATGTGTCGAACTCAAACCAGATAACATCACGTACATCAATGACTTGAATTTCTCAATCAGAGCTGCACAAATGACTTTGCACATGAGTTTCGCGGAAAACAATGATAATTACAAAGTTGGAAATTACGCGCTCGTGTTCAAAGACATAACAGGAATTGCTCCAATCCCTAATTTCTCATTCACCCCGCAATTTCCTCTCAACTTCCCTCTTCTTCCTCTGAAATATTCTGTCGCTGAATCGTTTGGAGCAATTATTTCCAGACGATTAAGTTCGTTAGTTCAATTCAGAAGAATTTTCAATAGAAGAGGATGGTTGATAACAAGCATTGACCCCAACCTCTGTTTCTCATTGATATTCACCAAGCCTCCTTCAACAGCTTTGACGTTGAACATCCAACTCAAGTCTGTGAGAGATTTCGCAGTTGTTGTTCCAACAATTGGTCAAAGCACAAAATTAAAATTGCCACTGTCACGTTTTCCGAGATTATTCAAGTCCATTCCTTTGTCGCATGCAGCTTTCAGGATCAAAATGGAGCAGTGTCTCGAGATGCGCACTTACATCGAGACATACATCAAAGAAGATGATTACATGAGAATGAGAGGTTTCGTTGGAACAGAAGAAAGCGATTTCACAATAAATTACAGGAATTCAAAGAACGATGTAACTGTTCATCACACTGCAGAAGGTTTCGAAATCAATTCGCCAAGATATCCGGGACTTAATGAGTTGTCAATGTCTTTGGTCGAATTGATTTCTGATCGACAAATAAGAACTGCAATCGCAACTCTTTTGATTGAATGCGCTTCTTCAATGGACCAAGATATTGCTTCTTTCGTGTTCACATTGGTAAGTTCATTGACTCATATAAGTGACAAAATGAACTGGATTGGATTGTTTAAATCCATTTCAACAAAGAAAGGAGTTTTTCAATGTAATGTTATATGTGGTCAGCCTGAATTTACTATTCTTGCAAATAATGCAAATGGAATTACTCACTTTCTTGCAATGAGTGGCATTAATACGCTGTTTCAATGTCAAGACAGTGAAATTTTCATGAATTGGTTTAATAATTACGTTAGATAAAATTTGTTTATTTTGTTTTTTGTTTTATATATAAATGAATGTTTTTTTCTTATCCCTTAAAGGTGCACTTACACCCATCTGACTTTAATTCAAATTTCTGACAACTGGCGTGAAGCGCCATTGAAATTAAACCCTAAAAACCAGAATTGAGTGCTAAGTCATACGGGCGTAAGTGCACACTTAATTGAAGAATTTTTTTGAAAGAAAAATTAAGTAGTTTCCATTTATCTTAGGATAATATTTTGAATACATAATAATGAGTTAGATCTTAGCAATTTTCAACACGCGAGGACATAATGGATAGATAATTGAGAACCACATTAAGTGATATAAGTAATTCTCTTAATTCCTTGCAGAATGTTTCATCCAATCATTTTCTGACCACTACTTTCTTCTAAACATTGGTCAGAAAATTTTCTCACAATGATATCTGAAGATGTAAAATAAGAAGTTTTGCTTCCAATATAATGAGGAACTTTATTACAACATGCAATTTTGGAATCGAGACTTCTCGATATTGAATAAGAATTTTGAAAACTATTGTACTTCACTATCGACACCTACAGAGATAAGATATTTGACAACTTCATGGTGACCTTTTTCTGTAGCAATCAAGAGTGCTGTCTTTCCATTTTTATCCTTTGCTTCTTTATTTGCCCCAATAAAGATAAGATATTTAACAGTTTCAATATGATTTCGAGATGCTGCCAAGATGAGTATAGATCCAAGGTGAAGTCATTTTTCTATCCCTGGGATAGACGATACACCCAAAATGTCACCTTTTTGGGATTCTGTTTTTTTTTGTTTTTTTAAGGTTCTCGCTGGCGACCCCCCACGTTCGTCGAAAAAAATTGGTGATTGGGGGGGTCGCCAGCAAAAATCAAATTTTTTCGACGAACGGGGGGTCGCCAGCGAGAACCTTAAAAATAAACCTCTGAAATTTTAAAAAAGAAAAAAGTGTGAAAATCCCCTTGATTCGAACCAATGGACTTTACGATTATACTATGACTCTTACCATTGAACTATGACTCTAAGGGTTCGAAAATTTATTTGGTGATAATATAAACTTTAATGAAAAATTAATCAGATCAATTTAGAAATATTTATTTCATAATATTGAATGAATGTATAAATCTAAATAGTATATTATCAAAAAAAAAATAAAAAAATAAAAAATAAAAAAAAATAAAAAAAAATAAAAATAAAAAATTAATAATAATAGTACCATCACCACAATTAGCAAATTCAAAAGATATATGAATTGCTATCGATCTCTTTCAAACAAACACATAGAAATTTTGATTAAGTATTTCAAATTTTTATATGAGATAAATATTGAACAGATAAAATATAAAACAATTTTTAATAATAAATATAGATATTTATTTTGTAGCCATTAAAATTTCTCGGCTATCTAATAAAATTTTGTGAGAACGTAATCTTTTCAAATTTAGTATCAATCTTTGGTCTTTTATTGTTCTCTCACATGTTGCTTCTGAAGGTGAAGCGGAGATAACACGAAGGGCGATATCTGCAAAGATTGATACATTGCCATCTCTATGAGAGATTTCTTCCCAACCGTATTCTTGACGTTCTTGAATCATATCATCAGAGAAGATATCATTATCACTATTAATATACGTGTTAAATAGTGTAATAATATCTGTTATTGTTTGACCCGGAATACGAAATTGTTCCAAAATACTTTTGAGATACTGCCTAGCTGCAACAAAATGGTTAACCGGCTGATTTGAACTAGATGTTACATCTGCGAGATCAAGCATAGGAGGGTCAATTGTAGCAGTTACCTGACGAATTGATCCCTCCTCAACCATATCAAGAGAAACTTCAGTCGAACCTTCTTCAAAGATAGAGTCCATATAGATAGATTGAATGTCTTCTACTGGATTAACGAAAGTTACGTTTGTAATATCAAATGAATTAATTGCCGGAGATTCGTTGATCTGCGCTCCGTGGACGAATTTTTGGTTGAAATAATACCTACCTTTCGGTGTAAAAGCGAAGGCTAAGCACCAAAGACCTCCAAAGTCCGATCCAAGGGTATAGTTCAACAACGATCTTGAAAGGATTCCAGCAAAAGGATTGTTGTTGCTGCTGGAAAGGTATTGGAGTGCTTCAATACCCTTGCAAAGCCATACGTAGCAATCAGATATCTTGGTTTTATCTGATTCGAACGTGGAAATAAGCTTCTTGAGAATTGCCAAGCAGTCTCTTAAGAACTTGATGTTTTCAATATCAATACGCGTATATCTTGAAATTTTGTCTTGATACTTGATAATAAACATACAAATATTATAATCATAGATCCACCTGGTGGATACATGCTTTGGACAGAGAGCTCCGATGTCTTCAACATGGATTCTACAAAGAGCTGATATTTCGTGGATATGTTTCACAATTGCTCCTAATGCTACGTCTTTTGTTGTCATATATTGATAACAATTATGAATCCTGTGGCATAAACACGGGATAAACAAGATTTTGAATAACCTTGGGTCATTTGAGTTGTAGAACGATTGATTCCATCCTTTCTGAAAACATTTCAATTGCGCTTTATTGCCATCGCAAACTACACTGCTGATCTTAACATCTCTAATGAAGATTCTGTTAAATCCTTGAGTAAGCGAGTGGATATAATCTTCAGATGTTCCACCATTCATTTGGATTGACTCAACAGGATAGGGCCGCTTGCTTTGCAGAGGATTTGTGAGGGAGAAGTCCAGATTGTGAAACTGCTGAGTCTTCCCCTCATCAATGGCAACACAGGTACAGGCAAGCTTAGCAAACTCATCAACTTTTGCAACATGGATTGAATTTGCAATTTGTATCATTGTTTGCCTTAGTTTGTCAGTTGAAATAGGCTGGTATATTTGAGAAGCTAGTTTATCAACATTGATGTTAACATTGTGTAACTGTGGGAACTTCAATATCATCGAGTCTGCAGTATACATTATAATGGTTTTAACTAGCTTTGTAAACTCTGGGCTTGAGAAGGTATTCAGAGCCAAGTTAAATCTTCCAGTAAATGTAGCAAGCTGTTCATAGATATCCCCTAACGATATAGGTGTAAGCCCTGTTGCTGGGACGTTTTGATAGTATTGATCGATTGTTTGTTGTGATGCTACTTCTCCTGGTGTGCATATGTGCCGTTTGTTTTGGATCCATTTTTTGAAATGATCCTCACGCATTTCTTCCATTGCACAGTGGCATATAGTTCCGTCAGGACGCTTTACTAGTTCATTGCATTTAACATAATATTTTCCGTACTTGTCGCCTTTTTTATATCTAAGATACTGATGCTTAGTACCGACCTCAATGTCTTTATAGTACATCGGTACTGCATCAATCATTGTTGAAATAATGAAGTGATTACTTAAGCATTTTTATTCTCAATTTGTTTTGAATAAATTCAATTTTTTAATGCATAATTTTTAAAAATTCTCTAATATACCTTAGATATAGATACATTTATTATCAATTCAAAAATTTCAATACAGTTTTGGGATGGGTAGCCCATCCCATATATTCAAATTTTCAATGATTTTGGGTTGGGATTCCCAGACCAGAATAATTTCTAATTATAATTCGTAAAAATATATGTATATCTCATTATTACATCATTTAATATATTTTTAGTTAAATAGTCACTATTTTCACAATTTTTATTATTAATTACTGAACTAAACAGGTTTCAAATAGAAAGAGTATAAAAGATAAGTGTTTTTCTACATGTGTTTCGATAAGAATTATAATAATTGATGGTTTTTACAGCCAAATTTATTTTATTATTTAAATTTCAATGAAAAAAGATAAGAATTTTTTAATAAAAATTTTTTATTAAGAATTTTTTTTTGTAAAATTGACATTGGGATGACGATAGGGCTGGGATCTTATCCACCCCGTTCATTTGGGAAAATTGCAGATCTATAAGATGAGTGGAGTATATCCGGTCTGATTTCTTGATTCTTTATCATATCTAATAGTGATAAAAAATCTAACAACTTCTAGTTGACAATTTTCTGCTGCAGATTTTAATTTTACGTATTCTTCTTTTATTATCAAAACTTCAATTCCAATCTTGCCAAATCTCACTCTGATTATTGTTTTATGCTTGATTTCAATTGAATATAGCATCCATTTCTTGAGGAGTCATATTGATTGAAATAATTTAACTATTTAAGCCTTTTTGGGATCTGCCATTTTATACGATCAATTAAGAACCCGTAAATTTGGATAATTTAGAGAGTACCTTCGCTCATTATTGATTCGATAACTTCGCTGTTATCTTCTCTTATTTTCATTAGTGAAGGTGAGCAGTTCCTCAGAAAATTAACATCATTCAAAAAGTACCAGAATGATAGAATTCTATTTCAGTCCATATTACAATAGATTTCTTATAAATTCTGAAATTTATCTCAAAAACTGACATATCTAAAAGTTGTTGCAAGCCATGTCAGCTTCAGAACAATTACCAAATGGAGGCGAACATTTCTTTAGCAGAACTACGCTAATTGAAGAATTCAAATACCCTAGCCAAGCTTCGAAAATTATAAGGAACGTAAATTCCACTAATATTTTACAAACAACATCACAAATCAATGATCTCATTAGAACTAACAAAATACCTATCCAAATGGCACTTTATTTGATTGACAATTTTCGAAAATTCGTGTTAAAGAAATTGAATTATTTGCGGAACTTTATCAAAAGATTTCAAACGAATTTTCATTTATCATCAAACCGAATAATGAGAGGTTAGCAACAATTTTACATTATAAAGGTCTCCATTTCGAAAATTTCGTTGCAAAATTATCACAAGAAGAAATTCTCAAATTATATCCAACAGAGTCACCTTTATTCTACATTGCATGGGATAAAGTTGATGACCTTAACAGTAAGTTCCCAAGTCTTGATATTAACATGATAATAAATGAAATCACTACACTTGATTGTGCAATTAAATACGGCTCAGAATTATGTTTCAATTACCTTAAGAGCAGGGGTGCCCGATACACAGATCACTCCGAAAAATATGCTGTTCAAGGCGGAAAACAAAGCATTTTTATGCAAATGTTACAAGAAGGTAAAACATTTGATAAGATGATTAATGCAGCATTGGATTATCAAAACTATGAAATTGCTGATTACCTTCAATCACATTATGGACAACAACCTGATTCAATAGCAGAAAGCATGTATTTCGGAAATTATGATGTTGCATCTTATTTACTTTCTCTTGGAGGTGATCTCAACAAAAATTACATCATTTTTCTTTTAATGTCTATCATCGTTTTACCGTATTATTTTTCTATTGATGTTCTTCATTACTTTTTGCAATTCTCTTTATATTCATACTTATCATTGTTTTATGAAATTGTCTTTCTTTTTATGTTTATCATTGTTTTATGAAATTGTCTTTCTTTTTATGTTTATCATTGTTTTATACAATTCTCTTTCTCTTCATATCTATCATCGTTTTATTGGATTCTCTTGATATTAATGAATGCGCTCTTAGTTTAGCAGTCAAAGCCAATTCTATAGCAATCGTCGAATTCTTAGTAGAACATGGTGCTGATGTTAACTTGAAACTTATTCTCTTTCTTTTCATATCTATCATACTTTTATGGTATTATCTTTCTTTTCAAATTTATTATTGTTTTATCAAATTCTCTTTCTTTTCATATCTATCATTTTTTTATAGAATTTTCCTTTTTTTTATACGTTAACCTTAAGGTTTATCATTTATTTATATAATTATTTTTCTTTTCATATTTATCACTATTTTATGGCATTTATTTTCTTTTCATATTAATCAATACTTTATTACAATCTCTTTCTTTTCATTTTTATCATTATTTTATTACAATCTCTTTCTTTTCATATTTATCATTATTTTATTACAATCTCTTTCTTTTCATATTTATCATTGTTTTTTGATATTCTCTAAATATTAATGAATGCCCTCTTAGTCTTGCAATCAAAGAAAATTCTACAGAAATTGTCACATACTTTGTTGATCATGGTGCTAATGTTAACATGAAACTTATTCTCTTTCTTTTCATATTTATTATTGGTTTACAACATTCTCTTTCTTTTCATATCTATCATTTTTTTAGAGAATTTTCCTTATTTTCATATTTATTAATGATTTATGGAATTATTTTTCTTTTCATATCTATCATTATTGAATTGCATTATATATCTTTTTATATTTATCATATATTTACACAATTCTCTTTCTTTTCATATTAATCTTTGTTTGATATAATTCTCTTTCTTTTTAGATTTATCATGTTTTTATAGAATTCTCTTTCCTTTAATATTTATCGTTGTTTTTTGGTATATTGTTTACTTTCATATTCTTTAGTGTTTTATGAAATTTCCTTTCTTTTCATATTTATTGTTGTTTTATTACATTATATATCTTGTTATACTATTCTCTTTCCTTTCATGTCTATCATTGTTTTATGACATTATCTTATCTTTCATTTTAATTATTATTTTATGAAATCTTCTTTCTTTTCATCTCTATCATTATTTTATTACATTACTTATCTATTCATATTTATCTTTTACTTTTTATATTCAGCATTGCTTTATTACATTCTTTTTCTTTTCATATCTATAATTGTTTTATGAAATTATCTCGCTATTAATGAATCCCCGTTTTCCCGTGCAATTAAAGCAAATTCCGCAGAAACTGTCAGATTCTTAGTTGAACATGGTGCTGATGTTAACATGATATTCATTCTTTTTCCTTTCATATTAATCATTGATTTATAATATTTTCTATCCTTTCATATTTATCATTGAATTACCAAATTCTCTTATTTTTCATATACATCATTGTTTCAAACAATTCTCTTCTTTTTCATATCTATCTTTAATTTAGAATATTATCTTTCATTTCATATTTATCATTGGATTATGGAATTATTTTTCTTTTCATATTTGTCATTGGATTATAGAATCTTCTTTCTTTTCATATCTATCATTGTTTAATACAATTCGTTTTTCTTTCATATTTCTCATTGATTAATGTTCTTCTTTTTCTATTCAAGTTTATCATCTCTCTCATATCTTTTATTGTTTTACAGTATTATCTTTCTTTTTATATTCATCATTGTTTGATGCTATTTTCTATCTTTTCATATTTATCATTGTTTTAATCAATTCTCTTTCTTTCCATGCTTATCATATTTTTATAAAATTCTTTTTATTTCCATGTTTATCATTATTTAATACCATAATATATCTTTTTACATTTATCATATTTTTATGATATTCTCTTATTTTTTCATATTTATTAATGCTTTATAAAATTCTTTTTCTTTTCACATTTATCATTGCTTTATGACATTCTATTTCTTTTCATATTTATTATAGAGTTATGAAATTTTTATTCATTCCATATCAGTCATTGCTTTATGAAATTCTCTTGATTTTAATGAATGCCCTCTTACTTTTGCAATCAAAGCAAATTCAATTGAGATTGTCCATATCTTAGTTGAGAAAGGTGCTGATGTTAACATGAAACTTATTCTCTTTATTTTCATATTTATCATTGTTTTATAACATTCTCTATCTTTTCATATTTAATAGCATTTTATACAATTCTCTTTCTCTTAATATTTCTCATTGTTTTATGAAATTCTTTTTCTTTTCATATTTATCATTGTTTTATGTAGTTCTTTTTCTTTTCATGTCTTTCATTGTTTAAAACAATTCTTTATCTTTTCATATTTTCTATAGTTTTATCACATTGTCTTTCTTTTCATATTTTTTATAAATTTATCACATTCTCTTATCTTTTATATTTATCATTTTTTTAAACAATTCATTCACTTCTCATATCAATCATTGTTTTATTACATAATCCATCCTTTCATGTTTGTCTTTTTCTTATGCAATTCTTTTTCTTTTCATATTTTTCATTGCTTTTTGGAATTCTTTTTCTTTTCAAATTGATTATTGTTTTATGGCATTATCTTTCTTTTCATATTTATTATTGCTTTAGACAATTCCTTTTCTTTCCATGTTTATCATCATTTTAGACAAATCTTTTTCTTTCCATGTCTTTCATAACTTTAGACAATTATTTTTCTATTCATACAATTCTATTTCTTTTCATATCAATCATCGTTTTATGAAATACTTTTTCTTTTCATATCAATCATCGTTTTATGAAATACTTTTTCTTTTCATATCAATCATCGTTTTATGAAATACTTTTTCTTTTCATATCAATCATCGTTTTATGAAATACTTTTTCTTTTCATGTCAATCATTGTTTTGCAAAATTCTTTTCCTTTTCATATTTATCATTGAATTATGGAATTTTTATTTATTT